TGCACACTCACCGTGCCACTTGCCCTTGTAAACTGTCCCAAAGGAGCCCGAGCCTATCCTGGTGGAGAGCATCACTTCACTGGCTTCTATCTCCCAGTAATAGCTGGAGTCTCTCTGCCCACGAGGCCTCTGCAACAACAAATCACAGGGATTTCACTGGGAATCACCCCTATTATACACACACAAATAAATTAAATTAAATCACTTCCTTCACACAACTTCCCCCTCACACCCCGAGGGGCTGGTCCTGCAGTTTGGATTTTGGGTTTTCTCCTCAGTTTGGGAGGGTGGTGGGGGTTTTTAGCAAAAAACTCAAATAAAAAATCACCCCATTTTCTTGGATGTTTATCATGAAGTTTATCATGAAGTTTATCATGATAATTATAAATAAATATATTTATTATGAAGTTTATCATGAAGAACTGTTTATCATGAAGGTCTGCACTAGAAAATTAAACCCTAAGGAACATGTATTTGATGATCAAATATTTTAAAACATCTGAAATATTTAAGAAAGTGGTTTCTTCAAAAGCACAATGCTAAAATTCTGTATTAATCCTAAATTAACATATTTAAATGGAATACGTCAAACAGATGAGAGCAAAATTCTCAATGGGTAAGTGAGCAAAAACTGTGAATCTCACTGAGCAACTGAGTTTTCCTTGTGAAAGCTTAGAAGCCTTCCAAAATTTCAAGATATTATCAATTATTATTCTAACTTTTCTTTCTTCCCCCCTAAGTTTAAATCAAACCTTTGAGGGAAAAGTTGCATTTTGTAAAATCTGGTTTTCCCTGAGACATTGGACTGTCCAATGGAAATGAAGGCATTGGAAACAGCACAGTTCAAACAGGGCTAATAAAGCCAATTTTAAATAAATTAAAACTGGATCAAAAGGATGTAACCTCTAAAGATTTAAAAGGAAATCCTTGGACCTGCACTGACAATGTCACACCACTGCCTGAAATTCATCTGCAACCCAAAACACTTTGTTCTGAGTATTTATAACCCATTTATAACAGTGCCATCCCTCCCCAATTAATGATAATAAATTGCCCCTGTATACACAGTGCAGAGCAATCCAAAATTATCTGCACTTTTCAGTGCAGAAATTCATCCCTGCACCTTTTTGTGCACAAATTCATCCCTGCACTTTTCAGTGCAGAAATTCATCCCTGCACTTTTCAGTGCAGAAATTCATCCCTGCACCTTTCAATGTGCAGAAATTCACCCCTGCACCTTTTTGTGCAGAAATTCATCCCTGCACCTTTCAGAGAGCAGAAATTCATCCCTGCACCTTTCAGTGCAGAAATTCATCCCTGCACCTTTTTGTGTGCAGAAATTCATCCCTGCACCTTTCAGTGCAGAAATTCATCCCTGCACCTTTCAGAGTGCAGAAATTCATCCCTGCACCTTTTAGAGTGCAGAAATTCATCCCTGCACCTTTCAGAGTGCAGAAATTCATCCCTGCACCTTTTAGAGTGCAGAAATTCATCCCTGCACCTTTCAGAGTGCAGAAATTCATCCCTGCACCTTCCAGTGTGCAGAAATTCATCCCTGCACCTTTCAGAGGGCAGAAATTCATCCCTCACCACTCCTCCCAGCACACCTGTAACTCATTTTTGAATTAAAGCAAACACCATACTTACAATTTTGTTTTTTTCTTGTGTGTTAGATGCAGGGGCTCTCTCTCTTTGGGCTGGGACTGGGGTTTTAGGCTGAGACCAGCCAGTTGGGCTCATATTGTTAGGACTTCCAGACAGAGCAGAGGGTGAGGCTTTGAGACAGAAACACAAGAAAACAGCTGATGAACAAGAAAACGACCAAATCAAATCATATTAGAAAATGTTTCATTTTTGAAAGCATACCTGATTCACTATGGCTTCGAATTGCATCCTGCAACAGAGAAAATGGACAATAAAGTGAATAAAGGAACAAGGAGCACCCAGAGGAACAAGCAGGGCTGTGTGGAAATTGCTGGGCCAGTTTCAGTGCAATGCAGCACCGGCCAGCAGCTGCAGGATTGGGCATCTGCTCATCACACCAATCCTGCAGGAAACCCATGCAACTTGTGAATTCTGACAACACAGGGAGGACTCACAGCATACTGAAAGGACTGCTACCAAAAAGGAAAGAGAAAAGGGCACAAAACAAGAAGAACCAGCAGCAACACTGCCTGCATTCCCCTGCACCTCATGCTGGAGCTGCAGGTGTGGCCAGAGCTCCTGGCACGGCTCTGCCCAGGGGACAGCTCCCAAACAGCTGCTGGGAAAGCAGGAATTCCAACCCCTCCCCAAATATTCCACCTCAGCACCCATGTGAAATAACTGCACACACCTCACCCCAACAAAAGCTACACAAGTGCCCCTACACAAAGGCCTCTCCTTTCCCAAGCACGTTCCCACAGGGAATTTGGCATTTGAGCAGTGTTTCACCAGGACAGGGCCACAAGTGTCACCTCATGCCACGGGCACAACACAACTCTAGAGCCATGCACAAGAGAGAGCTGAGCTCTGACAAACAGCACTGCACAGCTTTTCTCACCTGCCTTTGGCATTATCCCAAAGGACAAACAGCAAAGGGAAAATATCCAGGGACTGTGTGAGTACAAAGCAAGAACATGCACTACAGAGAGGTTAAACACTGTCAAAGTAACAGAAGTCAATGCAAATTCTCTAACTAATTAGTAGAATAATAATGTAAGATTTCATAGGAGGACAGAACAAGCCCACATTGCACTGCACAGTTTCAAATTAAGATTATCCTGAGCAAAGATTCAGTTATAAAATACATTTTTAGCTAATTAGTTGCATTCACCCAGGCTGGACTAAGTGCAGCATTCTTGCAGATTGCCATTGCTCCACACCTGAGTGGATTCAAATAAAATCTGCTGGCCAACCAATGAAGAACTCCTCAATTTCCTGATTTTGTTCAATTTAAGGATAATAAAACCTTCCAGAACTCAAATAACAAGTGATTGGCTTTGTACATCAGCCTGAGAATGTAACTGCTTTCAAGGAAGCTGGCAAAGGGTAACTAAAGAATTCAAATTGTTTCTTATACTTATCTATGTGGAATTACTTTGAAAAAGTATTTTTGAGCTTCAATCCTGATGTGAATATTTGTTTATTTGCTTCTGAATTCAACAGCAAACAAACCAAACCCCCTGTTCCTATACAAGTAACCCCATCCCCAGGGCTGCAGTCTGATAACTTTATATTGATGGGAAATAAAAACAGTAAAATTGTTCTTAATCTCAGGGCTGTGGATGGGTACAGCCAATAAAAACCATTTCCAGGGGGAAAAGCCACCCCATGGATGTGTTTTGAGAAGGTTTTGTTTAAAGGCTGTTTAATGCATTCTAATCCAAGCCTGTTCACACTGAGAGAGGATGAATTCAGATTAACTGAACATGAAGCTCTTTATCAATTTGTCTCTTCCAGTAACAGCCTCAATATTTGAGTATAAACATGCTGGCAAGATTCTCATCAGCCCAGGTGCAGATTAAACACTGCAGGTGGACACTGCCATGGCTCACAAGTTCCAGCAATGCTGTTAATGACAGAAAACAGAAGGCACCAAGGAAATACCTACTCTTCCCCTCAAACAAAAGCGTCTGCACCAGGAGCTGGGAGAAGCATTCAGGCTGTTATTCTAGGCCAACACAGTAAGAGATAAAAGAAAAGAACAGAGGAAGTATAAAAAAAATATTTCTAAAAATTAAATGTTAGGCTAAATGAAAGAAAAAGTAAGCTACTTTGCTTGATAAATGATAATTAAGTGCAGTAAAATTTTGAAGTATTCCTGCTCAAACCCAGAGGTTCACAAGGACCTGTTCTTGGCTAAACCATTTTTTATTACAGTTTTTCTCCTGGTTTATTACAAAGTCTCTACTACTTTCTTTCTGCATTGCTTTGGAGCTTTTTAAAAGCTTTTAGGATGTAACAACTATTTTTATGGTAATGTGAAGATCCAAAATAGAAAGTCTTTGTCTTTACTGCTCTCTATGAAGAATAAAGAAAAAAATGTCTCCTTAAAGACTCATCACTCTACCAGGATCAATAATTCAGATTTTCTTGAGTGCTTCATTGTGGTTTGTACCATCAGAAGCAGCAAAAAGGGCTGGGAGCCAAAGAACCCAGGGAGAAAGGAGGACACAAACCCAGCTGGCACAGCCTCTGGGCAAAGATGGCTCCTGGGCTGCAGGGCAAGGGCCAGAGGAGCTCCCTCATCCCTTCAGAGGATCTGCAGCTTTCACAGAATTCCATAAATCACAGCTGAAGATGCAGGTGAGCTCAGCACTGAAAGGCTTTTGCTTGGCCTCCAGAGTTTTTAAATTATTCCAGAGGCAAAAGCAACAAACAGGGTTTGCTGTCTCTCCCAGGTCCTGCAGTTCAGCATTTCCTGCACACCAGTTTGTTACAGTTCTCACAAATCAAAATTAAGGAAACCCAGCCACTTTAGGCCTGATTTCCCAGAGTTGTCCCTCACTGCCAGTCTAAGGGAGGAAAACACAAGAAAAAGGTGTTTGAAGGCAAGAAGAGCAGAACAGACTGGCTTCAGCCCACAGGCCCAGAGCTGTCATTCATTCCCTTCAGTGGAACACAAACAGATCCCCAGGAAGCTCTGACCCACCCAGACCCAGGGCACCTTCAGTCTGATTGAAAATTAACACCAACCCCCCACAAACCCAGACTTTTACATTTAGAAGAACATTTTTAGACACATCTAAAAAAGCATTCCTTCACAAAACTGACTAACTGCTAAACCTCCTTGCACACCCCTAGAATTCACCATTACTCCAGCCAAGCTGACAGACAGCAAGAATTACCAATGAGCCCCCTATGCAAAGGTGTGTCCTGATGCCTCCCCCAGCGAGGCAGCTGAGGAAGATGGTGGGCAGAGGGGAGGAAGGCAGGGAAGGCAAGGCCACAGGGGCAGGGCAGGGCAGCCCTGCTGGGTTACCTCGATGATCCTGCTGTCCACGGGCATGGTGGTGCTGACCATGTGCACGTTGGGGGTGGAGGTGGAGCGCTGCCTCTGGGACAGAGAGCCCTCAGAGGAAGGGCTGGATGGGTTGAAAGTGAAGGCATGAGGTGTGGAATACCTGTGCTGGGAGCTGAGAAGGAAATAGAGACAAAGGGAGAGTTGTGGTTATTTTTATTTCCCCTCCTGTGAAAAACACTGCTCAATGTAACCTGTCTGAAAGCAATATACACACAATTCCAAGCAGAGAAAAAGCTGGGATTTACACATCAGCTAAACTACATGGTCAGCTGAATCAGTCCCAGTTTAATTTAAGAAATAAATTTGAAAAACTTGAAGATCTTGTCAGCTCACATATTTAATTAGTGTGTTTAGCTGAGGTCTGGTTTTGCTGTTAGGAATTTTGCCACCTCAATCCCCCATCAAATCACATTTAATACACTGACAAAATACTGGCTCTGAGAGATGAATTGAGGACTGTGAAACTAAACAAACTGCTCATTTCAAGCCTGTTAAATGCACAGCTTAAGAGCTAAGCCCTGAATCTGCAAAGCTTTGCAAGACTGTTCAATGGTTTGCACAGAACAGCCAGCAAGGAAGTCATGAAACCCAACACCAGTTAAAAGGAGGCCAAGACTAAAATCCAGCTCAACAAAGAGTTATAAACCACAGCCAAGGCCACTCAGGCCATGAGGATCCCAAAACACAAATGCACCTTAACTGAAATGGGCCAGCCTTCACAAAGATCTATGAAGTTAATAACTCACTGTTCAACAACACTGGAAATAAGAGTGAGATAGCAAAGATCAATTCCTGATGCAGTTCCCATTAAAATAAAGAAATAAAGACATAGAACCATTTGTAAGTCAGCTACGTGCTCTGTGCCTCATTCCTGACCAGACTGCTCAAATGGGTGCAGAAAAAACAAAAGCTGGCCTGCTCTCCTCAGCCTCTAGAATTTCAAGGGAAAGAATACAGGCACGTGTTAGGGTCAGGGGACAGGCCCCTTGGAAAGGGACACAACTTTCATTTCAGCACCTAAAACTACAGGAAACTTCCCTTTAGGTACCAGAATTTGCTTTAAGAGGAGCATATTTTCAGTTCTCACTGTTCTCTCCTTAAATTCCTATCTGTCATCAGAATATCAGAGCATTATTTTAGTTATGGATGTGAATCATCCACCACGAGACACAAACTCTCAATGCACACTACCTGATCAGATAAAATAAAATTTATTCACAAAAATACCAAAAGGGAGCCTTGGATTTTCTTAAGCAGGAAAACAAAGGTCTCCAAAAAGCCTTTAATACTCTACCTTAAAATTTTAAGGCTAAAAGCTGAAACTATGAAATCTGAAATCAATGCTTTGGTGGATGTGAGAACAAGAAAGAGCTGTCTGTGATGAAGTGGTGCTGCTGCCTTGCACATTGACCCCAACCTTGTATCAGACTGCTCTGCTTTGGAGGAGCTGGGGGTCTCTGCTTGCTTGGATGGGTTGTTTTGAGAGAAGTGTATTTCCCAAGAGAGAAGTGACAGGAAATACAAGCTTACCTAACAGGTATCCGGGAGACAGACTCCCGCATCCGCCTCATTGTCAAGGGAGGTAGTGCAGGGACACCACTGTCACTGATATTTGAATTTGGGAACAATCTGAAATATCAACAAAAACAATTACAACTTCAACTGCTACACTACCTCCTGTACAATGCTCTTGAAAGCTGAAATTTTAAAGGGCTGTTTCTTTGCAGCATGATTAACTTCATGAACACATTCCTATCTTTACATTGTGTTTTTCCTCTGGGTACAACTGAAATCTCTGCAAAGAAAAGTTCCAAACTTGAAGAGCCAAAATCTTTTCATATCAGACTTCAGATTTTCCTGAAAGGGTACTTGACACAATTTAGCTCTGTTAAAGCCAGGTAGCACCAAGTGGCACAAGTCATCCTGCACCCTTAGTATGAGAAAATGCAGAACCAGGTGATCAAGTTTAGTTAGAAAAAATTATAACCACTAAGAAACAAAAACAATTACAGGCTTTAACACTTTTGCATAAAAGGACTTGTAACATCAAAATTTTCAACTTTTTGTAGCTGGTATTAGGAAAGTATTACCCTCCATCTGTTTTCTCACTATTCACCATTTTCACCAGAAGCTGAGGTGTAGAACAGGTGAACACTAAATTTCCAACAGCTAAAATCCAACTGAATCATGGCCTGGTTGATTCCTGACATGTGTTTGTGAGAGGAATTGCTGTCCCCTGCTCCAAGGGCATTGCAGCAACTGCCTGGTCCTTCAGGGTGTTTGTTTGCTCGTCCCAGAACATTCAAATCCAGAGCAAGAACAAACTGCAGCTGAAGTGCACGGCTTTGGGGAACAGACACTCATTGCTGGCTGTTGCATGAGCTCAACCCACAATTCTGCTCACAGGGACTGCCTTCCCCACAGCCCCACAGGATCTCTGGGAGCAGACACACAAAAGCAAGAGTCAGCCAGAGTTGCTGGTGCCAGGAGAAAGGAGCAGTCCTTACAAGAGCTGCCTGATGTTGCTCCAGTCCACACACATGGTTGGCACCTTGGTGCTGCAGTGCTCGTGGAATTTGTAGCCGCACGTCTGACAGCGGAAGCCGTTGAGCAGGAACTTCTGGCAGATGTCACAGAAGGCAAGCTTCAGAAATGTCTTCCTGGCCTGGAAAACACAGCCAGGGATTGTTAATTAACTAATTAACTCTTCATCAACTGACACTTGGAGCTTCAGAGCCCGACAGAAATAAATAACCATGGTAAAATGCTGTCAGAGCCCCCTGGTTGCTACTGAGCTTAAAACCACGCTCAAATATTCTAGAGTGGATTTCCAGGTTGGTTGGAAACCTGGAAACTTCAGAAATACTGAAGGCTTTATTTACAGAACAACCAAACAAAGAGAAAGGAAAGGACAGGTGCTCTGTCAAATGCAAAAGGTGTCAGAGCTGTGTGAGCCAAGAGCTGGGGTTTGTGTTTGTTTTCAGCAGCACCAAAGAGGTGAAAGAGCATCAGACTGGAAGGCCCAATTCATTTTTTATATTAGCCAAAACTCTTGGTGTTTATGACTAACCAATATCCCTTGCATGAGAAATACATTTCTTAGTAATCAAAACAATAGAAGGAATTTGTACTTTTTTTTAATGGCAGCCTACTTTGTTATTTTAAAAGCTTCTGAAGTATGAAAAGATATTAAAATGAACCAAGGGGGTTCTTCCTCCAGAACCTACTGGAGAGAAAAGCTCCAAATTTCAGCCTCCTCCAGACCTGGAGAAAAATATTCATTTTCTGCTGAGCAGCTGCAGATGACATTTTCTGTAGTTTTTTTTAATGTAATGTAGAAGTAAAGTGACTTTCAGGTTTTGCAAATCAGTCCTAACCTTTCTAATGGATGTAAATGACAATCCTTTAGGATTACCACAATGTATTTCTAGAACAAATCAAGAAAAAAAGCTAAAATATGGGAACAGAGTTCCTTCCCAGGGAGAAGACAATAATGCAAGGTAAAACTGTTAGAGTTGGGCATTATATCTGCAAAAAAAACCCAAGAATTTTAATTTTTTAAAAAAATTTAAAAACCCACAAAGCACAAAACCACCTTCTACTTATTTGTTTTGTGTGGAATCAACACAAAATAGTATCAATAATTTAAATAATCCATTTTTGAGAAGGAACTACAAAGTAAAGCCTTTCATTCACCCACAGAACACTCTGTCAAATTACAAGGCAGCATTAGCTCACAAAATAATGTCAGGACCTGCAGAATTAACAGCACCCCTTAATATTCAGTATAAATAATAAATATTGGACCATCAGTCCAGTAAAGCTGCTGAACTTATCCAGCCTTTTTTGGCTGATGAGCTAGAGACTGAAAATGGAAATTTTCTGCCTTTTCTGGACTTTAAAGTCATGGGCATCTCACCACAATAGTTACAGACACACGTATTTATGTAAAATAAAAATGGCACTGTGAGGAACATGCACAGTGTGAGCTGAGACACCTGGGGATCACCAGGGTAATAAACACAATTCTGGCATTTCACTGCAAATTGGTATTTAGGGAATGGAATTTGTGGGGAACAGGGGTGAAGGAATCAACTCCAACTTCTGAGAATCCCTGTGTAAGAAAGCCAAAAGCTTTCTAATGCCCAAAACATTTTTTGGCCAAATCTGTGGCTCAGGTGATGAAATTCCCAGCAGAACAGAGAGCAGGACAAGCTTACAAAATTGTGAGTGGTGAGTGGGACATGGTCAAGGAAATCCACCCGCAGCTCCTCTCCAATCAGGGAGGCAGCGTCTGTGTTCCAATCCAAACGCACTTTCTTCCTGAAAGACAAAATGGGGACAACAAAATCACTTTGGGGACAAGTCTGGCCTCATCAGCAATTGTGTCTGGTGAGTTTTCTTGAGTAAACTCAAAACAAATACCCAAAAAATCATGGCTAACCTCTTACAGTGAGAGAGATAGATCTCAGTGTCTTTCACTCAAAAAATCAGAAGCAAGTCACCTCTTTTTCTGCTCATTTTTAACATGTTATTTCTTTATAAAATATCAACATAAAGCACCTGGAAGCTTTAATGGAGTCACAGAAACACCCTTATAAATGTAACAGAAATTACTGTGACACCCTCAGTGACACAAAAGCCATTATCAGGTGCTTGGGCAGGGACTGGTGGCCCCAGAATGGCCTCAGCTGCTCAGAGATGGAGCCCCACAAATGCCTGAGGCTGCAGGGAGCTTGAAGGCCAAGGCTGAGGAGGTGGGAAGTGCATTAACTCCATGAGACACCTTCACTCCCTCAGCTTTAAAACAATCACTTGGTATTTAACAGCAGCATCCCCAGTCCTACAAATAAATATGGAATATCTGGAGTGAGACTGAAATCCAGATATTGGGAAGCTGTAGAGGAATGCACAGCCTTAAAACCGAGCACATGGAACTGCTCAGGGCAGTGGGCTAAGAACCACTGGCACTGAATTTACCAAGCACAAAGGCAGCACAGAAATGCACCTCAAACATGAAGGAAGGCATCACTTCTAGAGCATGGCAAAACCCTCACTAAGGGGCTGCAAGCACTAGAGGGAACCCCTCCATTTTAAATATTTTCAATATTTAGCTTTAAAACAAAAATGAAATTGCCAATACACAGGAAGCTGACAGAGTTACCCAAGAAGAAGGCAAAGAAAGCAACACAAAGTGTTCACAACCAAATATCAGCCAGAGGGGAAGAACACATTACTGCTGCTATTGCAAAGCCAAGATTTTTACATTCTGTGGAGGAAGTTTCACTCTTACCCCTTGGGCTCAGCAAGAAGTCGAAACACTGCACAGCACTCTGGCTGCAGCCCCCTGACCTTCAGAGCCTTCATCAGACAGTCATGCAGGGTCATCCCGTTCCTCACGTTCACCTGGCAGCAAGGGGGACACAACACAACATTTACACACTGCTGCACAGCCTCTTCAAGCTTTTCCAACACCATTTTCTCATTTTCAGAAATTCCAGGAAAGCTGCACAAAGTGCACTCCTGCAAAGTTCTGAAGGCATTTTGTAACTTCTCTGTTGTTCATAACTTCTGAGTTTCTATGAAACAGGATTTTACACAAGCAGGCAGCCTCCAGAAGGAATAGAAATGCAGGCAAATGGAGCTACCTCAAGTACAGAAAAAGGTTTAATTTATATTTCAGGAAACTTTGGGTAAGACTATTATTAGGTACACTCAGCTCCAAGAAACTGAACAGAAGCGTTCCCTCAACAAGTTTCACTTCGGTTTTAACCCCCACACTTCAAGTGAGGAAAATGACAGAAGTGTCATGCAGCAATCATCCAACAATGACTTTTCATGTGGAACATGCTCATGTGCTTTAGAAAATTCCCAGCATTGAGGCAGAGCAGCAGAGCTTCTCAAAATACAGATACAGAGCATATTTCGAATAAACCACATCCTCTAAAACCACCCAGCTGCTGACCATCACTGAACCCCAGTGAGACCCTTTGGAAGGAGGGCATTTCTGGGGGTAGGGCCACCCCCACGGGGGCAGGAGAGCATTGTGAGCCCCCACTCACCACGGTGCGCTGCTTGTTGGGCAGGAAGACGCGGATGGTGTTGCTGGTTTTGGACGTATCCGAGATTTTGCCGTCGTCGGACGCCCGGCGCTGGTACCCAAACTGCTGCACCAGCGTGGGGGAGATGCAGTTGGGGCCATCAAAGACAGAATCCTTCAGGCCAAAGCCATTGCTGATGGTCTTCCAAGCTCCCTGGATGTGCTCCATTGGGGCAGCCTAAGGAACATTGGGGCAGTCAGGGAAACGGGCACATCCTTCCCTCTGCAGTGGGGCTGCCGCCTCCTCCTCACACAGCAAACCTCAGACTTTTCTGGAAGCTTCTGGAGCTGCTCTGCCTTGTGAGGTGCTCAAGCTGCACTGCAGGTACAGCTCACCCCCAGCTGCACAATCAGCCTGGCTCCTAAAGCACTAATTGCACTTTATAGACACAGAGCAGGAACAGAGGTGTAATTCCTCCCACTGCACTGCACCTGCAGGGGAATCCACATCGTCAGTGCCTGGGGGGCTTCCAGAGAGGTGGCCAGAATGCAGAACCACAATATCCTGGGCTGGAAGGGACCCACAGGATCACTGACCCAGTTCCTGGCCCTGCAGCCACCCCAGCAATGCCACCCTGGGCACCCCTGGGAGCTCTGGCAGCCTCAGGGCTGTGCCCATTCCCTGGGCAGTGCCAGCACCACCCTGACCCTCCCTGGTGACAACAACAGAGGCCAGCACAGCAGTCCTGAAAACCAGATGTGCCACACAGGCATTAGCCCACACTGTTAAGAAAAGAATTAATTAATTAATTAACTCAACAGGAATTACAATGAAAAGAAGTAATTAAGGAATCTATTTTTATCACTGATTTTGAGGCTTTGTTTATTTGGGGTTTTTTTAATACTATCATAATTTACATCATGTGAAACAGCAAAAAAAAAAATATTTCTCAACTTTCACACTCATTATGCTCAGTTATATTTCAGCATAAATAAACCTGGGACAACTGGGATTGTTCAGCCTGGGAAAGAAAAAGCTCCAGGGTGACCCAGCTGCAACCCTGCAGCACCTGAAGGGAGCTACAAGAAAATGGAGAGGGATTATTTACAATTAACAGGATACAAGGAATGGCTTCAAACAGACAGGGAAGAGGTTCAGATGAGATATTGGGCAGGAATTGTTCCCTGGCCCTGGCACAGGTGCCCAGAGCAGCTGTGGCTGCCCCTGATCCCTGGCAGTGCCCAAGGCCAGGCTGG